ATGATAGATGACAGGTTGTTTTTGTTTTACTTTTTCTCTGCGCCATCACTGCTGTAATGTAGATTTGTTCTGTTCAATAAAACTAGATAATTAATATTAAAATCGTTTATTTACAATAGGTTATGGGCCCAGACCTGTAATCTGTTTGTAATAAGTATTGGTGAAAAGTTCTAACAGTGTAATCACGTAAAACAAAGTCGCCGGTCATCAAGTGATACGACCCAACCTAAAAGCCGCGCGTCGTTGTCGGTGAAAAATATTTTTCATACAAAATGTCTTCAAATGCAATGACTCTTATCGAAAAATTAGTTGGTCGAGATAACTACAATACATGGAGATTTGCCGTAATGACGTATTTACAACATGAAGACCTCTGGTGCTGTATCGAAAATGAAGGCAAAACTGTTGATTCAAAGCTCGACCTGAAAGCAAAGGCAAAAATTATATTGTTGGTTGACTCAGTGAATTACATTCATATACAAGAGGCAAAAACGGCAAAAGAAGTATGGACCAATTTACAAAAGGCTTTCGACGACAAAGGGTTGACAAGACGCGTGGGCTTATTGAGAGATATGATTACAACAACATTAGAAAATTGCCAAAATATTGAAGATTACATTAACAGAATAATGAGTGCAGCACATAAACTTCGAAACATATCATTTGACATCAATGATGAGTGGCTGGGTACTTTGCTTCTTGCTGGATTACCCGAAGTCTACAAGCCAATGATTATGGCTCTCGAAAGTTCTGGTGTGCCGATTACAGCAGACTCTGTGAAGACTAAGCTCTTACAGGAAATAAAGAGCTCCGAGTCAGTTGCATTGTATGCAAGTAAGCCAAGTAAATATAAACAAAAGGATTCTGATAATTCTCCGAAGTTTAATAAAGGTCCCCGTTGTTTCAAGTGCAACCGGTACGGTCACATAAGTACAAATTGCAGAACAAAGAAAAAGGACCAAGGCAAAGAGTCAGGCAAAGAAACTGGATATGTCGCTGTGTTCTCGGCATCCGTGGCAGCAAATGACTGTAATAGCTGGTTTGTTGATTCAGGAGCATCCATGCATATGACAATGAGGCAGGACTGGCTGTATGATGAATCATCACCTCCAATTACAAGCATCCGTATTGCTGATGATAAAATGCTTAAAGTAAAGAGCTGTGGAAAAATAGATCTGTCTATTTGTAATAGTAAAGGGCAAACACAAACCATACAAGTAACCAATGTGTTGTATGTGCCTGAGTTAGCAAGCAATCTTCTTTCCGTGAGTCAGCTGATAAAGAAAGAATGTTCTGTACAGTTTAGTAATGAAGGCTGTAAAATATTCAACAAATCTCAAAAAGAGGTTGTAGCTTGTGAGTTATTGAATAACATGTATCGTCTGAACTTAGGTAGTGCAAAAGCATATGCATTTAACACAAAGGAAAGTGACAGATACTTATGGCATCAAAGGATGGCTCATCTCAATATGACTGATCTGGATAAACTCTCCAAATGTACAGAAGGTGTGATCGACAATAAGCTGGATATGATATGTGAATTTTGTCAAGAAGGAAAACAGTCTCGGCTGCCGTTTCCCAAGGAAGGTTCTCGTGCTAAGAAGGTTCTAGAACTTATACATTCCGATATCTGTGGGCCACTGGAGGTGAAATCAGTTGGAGGAGCGCAATATTTCCTCACATTTGTGGATGACTATACCAGGAAAGTATTTATTTATTTACTTAAAAACAAGTCAGAAGTGTTCAGTAAATTTAAAGAATTTAAAGCATTTGTGGAAAATCAACTTGAATGTAAAATTAAAAAATTAAGAACTGATAATGGAAGAGAGTATCTAAGCAATGAGTTTATTGAATACATGCGAAATTGTGGCATAGTACATGAAACTTCTAACCCATATACCCCACAACAAAATGGGTTAGCGGAGCGTATGAACCGCACATTGATGGAGAGAGCTCGCTGTATGTTGCTTAATGCTAATTTACAGAAACACTACTGGGCTGAAGCAGTGGCGACAGCTGCATACATAACGAACCGCTGTCCAACAAGATCCATTTCATACGCTACACCTGAGGAGTTATGGTCCGGGAAGAAGCCTAATTTGAAACACCTTAGAATCTTTGGATGTGAAGTCATGGTTCGTGTTCCAGATGCTAAACGTCAAAAACTGGATGCTAAGGCAAGTAAAATGATATTTATTGGCTACTCAGAAGTCACTAAAGGATACAGACTACTAGATACTAAAACAAGAAGAATTCTTATCAGTAGAGATGTTGTATTTCTGGAAAATTCTGTACAAAGAAAGTATTCTATGGTTCCGCTAACAGAAAATACAAATAATGTTAAATGTGCTGATGAAACTAAGAACATTAATGATTCTATTGGGCTAACAAATCAAAGCACAAGAGAGTTAAATAACTCATCTGTAACATTATCCGATGATGATGAAGAATCATTCTTCTCCGATCATGATCCCGAGTATGTACCTGAAAAAGAAATAAATATTAGTGGACCTAGTAATATAACTCTAAGAAATAAAGTAGGAAACAGAAAACATGAAACTAATACTTACCTCTGTCAAGGTGGAGAACACGAAAATAATGAGACACCAATGACTTACCGGGAGGTTCTGTCATCACTGGATAAAGAGAAGTGGAAAAAGTCTATAAAAGAAGAGTTGCAAGCACACAGTAAGAATGAAACATGGGAGTTGGTGAAGAAGCCAGATGGAGTGAAAACTATTGGCAGTAAGTGGGTTTTCAAAGTGAAAGATACACCATCAGGACTCCTGTATAAATCAAGACTATGTGCCATGGGATGCTCACAGAAACACCAGGTTGATTATACAGAGACATTTTCACCAACTGTCAGCTATGACTCTGTAAGAGTATTGCTTTCTAAAGTGTGTCAGGATAACTTGCAAATGATACAGTTTGATGTTAAAACTGCTTTCCTCTATGGAAGTATAACCGAAGATATCTATATGAATCCACCAGATGGCGTATATGTACCTGAAGGGCATGTTTGTAAACTTAAAAGGTCCTTATATGGGTTAAAACAAGCACCCAGGTGCTGGAATCAAAAATTTGATTCAGTTTTAAAGAAATTTGGTTTCACCAATAGTCACTCAGATAAGTGTATCTATTCTGGTCAGTTTAATGGTAGTAAAGTGTACCTGATACTGTCTATGGATGATGGACTAATCATTTCTAAGGATAAAAGTGTGTTAAACAAAGTTATTGATGATTTAAAGGAAAATTTTGAAATAAAAGTGTGTGAACCTAAAAATTTTGTTGGCCTTGAAATTGAAAAAGGCGAAAAATACATATTTCTACATCAGAGTACCTATGTACAGAAATTGCTGAATAAATTTAATATGATTAATGCCAATGGAAACAGTACACCAGTAGTGACAGGTATTAAATTAGAAAAGAATACATCACAGCTGGATAGAAACATTCCATACAGAGAGGCTGTAGGCTCATTGATGCATCTAGCTATAGTCAGCAGGCCTGACATAATGTTTGCGGTTAGCTTAGTCAGCCGATATCTGGATGGTTACGATAGTAGTCACTGGAATGCAGTAAAACGGATAATGAAGTATCTGAAAGAAACTAGTGATTATGGTCTGTACTATATTCCTTCACACGACAATATACTAGAATGTTATTGTGATTCTGACTACGCTAATGATATTGAAACAAGAAGGTCAATGACAGGATATGTGTTCATTAAGAATGGTGCTGCTGTTACTTGGCCAGTCAACGTCAGCAAACTATAGCACTATCAACAACTGAAGCGGAGTTTATGGCTGCCTGTAGTGCTACAAAAGAAGTTATTTGGTTAAAGAGACTTTTGTTAGATATAGATGAATATAATCAGGATTCTGTAAAACTTAACATTGATAATCAAAGTGCAATTTCTGTCATAAAAAATGATAATTATCATAAACGATTTAAACACATAGATATTAAATATAAGTTTGTTAAAGAGAAATATGAAAGTAAAGAAATTGATCTAAAGTATATAAGTAGTAATGAGCAAAGGGCTGATATATTTACTAAACCCTTAGCTAAAAGTAAATTTCAATATCTAAGAAATAAATTAGGTATTTGTAAGATGTAACTATACTTATGAAACTTTATAAAACTTGGCTCTGACTTTGTTCAGTAATAGTATGAGTGTATAAAGTAACTATGTACTTATTTTTGTTTGTTACTATTACTTGTTTAACTGTTAGTTAGATTGAGGAACGCTGCAATTTGGAGAGAGTGTTGTAGTAATTTGAAATTGGCGCGTTCCATATAATGATAGATGACAGGTTGTTTTTGTTTTACTTTTTCTCTGCGCCATCACTGCTGTAATGTAGATTTGTTCTGTTCAATAAAACTAGATAATTAATATTAAAATCGTTTATTTACAATAGCTGATGTTGGTTGCCATGGGCGTATATCTGATGGAGGGATATTCAAAGATACAGAGTTCTACAAGATGATGCAAAATGGCTCCTTAAATTTACCACAAGAAAAACCATTACCTTATAGGACTAAAGCGATCCCCTACTTCTTTGTTGCTGACAGCGCTTTTGCTCTAGATAAACATGTGATGAAACCATACTCCGGTAACCACAGTAAAGGCACACCGGAACGTATTTTTAACTATAGATTAAGCAGAGCTCGCAGAATTGTTGAGAGTGCCTTTGGCATTGCATCATCCATTTTTAGGGTACTTAGAAAACCTATGATATTAAAACCAGAAGTTGCTGAAGTGGTCGTTATGAGCATTATTCACTTGCATAATTATTTGAAACAAAACGCTTCCGATACTTATACTACCAATTCTAATATGTACATAAATCAATCCGTACCTAATTTCACATCTCTTTCAAATATTCAAACACCACAAATAAGATATTCCAGAGAAATAAACGAAATAAGAGATGAGGTTGCTTCTTATTGTGTAAATGAAGGCCGTATTGCATTTCAAGATAAATATTGTTGATTTAATTACTTACAGTATTTAAACGTTTCCTTGGTTTATCCCGATCAGCTAAAAAGGAAAAAGCGTCGTAGGCAAACCATCTACTTTTGTAAGTCTCGGATGCTCCTATAAATATAGAATAATATTAGTCACATAGTCAATTTAATTAATAAAATAAAACACAAAAAGTAACAAGTCGTTTTTTTACTCACCTTTCCCTGTCCCTTTACTTTTTTGACTTTTTCCTTTCTCTCTTCTAAAAGACGATAAAAGACTTAACAGTTTGCTATGGCATTGTTCATGATCGCTTCCCATTATAGCACCTATTTCTTTCCACGCATAATTTTTTAGATTTTTTCTATAGTAATATTGATCTTTAGGATCCCATAATACTGGAAATCTTTTATATGTTTCAATTAAGCGTAAACAATTCTCCTCCGTCCACTCCATGACAACACGTACTTAGCCTCCAGTAATCAGAAACGAACTGAGCGAAATAACTAGCGCGCCGCCCGCGCGCTGATCGCGTACGGCGCTTAGGTCGCGCGCGAACTGCGCGCGGGCGGCGCAGAAGCGGCCCACGAACAAAAATGCACGCGGGTAGGTCGCAAACGGCTCGCGAGCTGCACATTCGCGGCACATTCGCCAGATGTGGACGCACCCTAAGAATCTGTGTCTGGTTGTGGTGGCTGTGCACAGTGTGCACATTGTTGCAGAAGTTGGAAAGCTTCTGAAAGAGTATCATCTGATATGTCATCTGCATTATTAGAAGTAGTTTTCTTCCTTTTTTTGTTCGATTGCGTGTTGTTTGGACATTGGATTGTACACTTTGATCATTCTGCTCTCTACTCAAATCTGTGTGTTGGTTGGCTCTTTCCGGTTGTGTGTCACTACTAACAATGTTACTGTTCTCGTTTTCGCTCACTGTAACTGTTATGTATACTATTACTCGTAATATAAAGAATGCACAATTTAGTAATGTAGTTTTATTTATTAGGAACAAGATACATGTAATTATAAACGAGTTAAGAATAATAATCTTAGTATGCAATTCCGTTCGTGACATAAGACCCAACAGAATGTTTCTCCCATATCCCCATAGGTGGCGCACTGATTACGTTCAGAAACGTTCATCGTTCAGAAACATTCTAACAGTCTCCCCTGCGTTAACTATTCCTTGCGTTATAGGTTCAGTCGATCTGGCTCCCTCCTTATTCTCTGAGAGCGACGTGGTACTGTCTCCTGGGTTGTTTCTGCTGTCTTATGTGGTAGTGTGAGTTCCACCGGTTCTGGCTCTCTATGCTGGTCGGTCAACTGTTGCTCCTTCGTAGGACTTTTGGACTCATTCCGTTTAGCGGGGCTTTGTACCGGGGGTATCTCTGTCGTTTTAACTGGATCCGGTTGTCCATTCTTCTTTGCCTCTAGTTGGCCTTCAGGTTGGTTTTCCGTAGGTATGATATCTTGGTGACTCTTATGGTGAATTCGATAAGTCTCTGGTTCCGCATTATAAGTCATGCACGAAGTTTTTATAATTTGGTCCACATGTCTTTGGTGAATTCTTCCGTCTACCTCCACTTCATAGTTAAGTTTTCCTTTTCTGCTTCTAATTTTTCCAAATTTCCATTTATTACTGTCATACATTCTAATTTGTACTTTGTCTCCTGTGTTGAACTCTTTGTTTACTATTAACTCTTCATTGTTGCTCCGTTGCCTGTCTTCCCTTTTTACTAAATCAATCCTTGTTCTATACAATCTTTTAAACATCATCTCTGCCGGGCTTAGACCCGTGGCATTGTTTGGTGTCTTCCTATACATCATCAGGAACTTTTGAATTTTCTCTTGTAGGGGCCCTTCTTCATTAGCCATAGCTTTTAGTTTCTTTTTAAATGATTGAACATATCTTTCTGCCTGCCCATTAGTAGAAGGATGAAATGGTGCAGTAAATTTAGCTTGAATACCATTTCCTCTCAAGAAACTTTGCATTTCTTCTGATCGAAATTGTTTACCATTGTCAGATACCTGAGTAACTGGTAACCCAAATGTAGTATAAAGTTTCTTTAGAATGTTTACTGTAGCGGTAGATGTGATTGAGGTAGTTGGAATGACTTCAAGCCATTTTGTGTAAGCATCTACAACAATAAGGAAATATTGATTCATAAATGGTCCGGCATAATCAATATGTATACGGCTCCATGGTTCTTTAGGATATTCCCAACTGTGTACTGGTACTTTTACAGGGTTCTTCTGTTGTAGACAACATCTCTTACACTGTTTTACCATTTCCTCTATATCTGAGTCAATATTCTTCCACCACACATAGCTTCTAGCTAATGCCTTCATTTTCACAATGCCAGTATGGGCTGTATGCAACTCATCTAAGATTTTTCGCTGTAATTCCTTGGGTATAACTATTCTTATTCCATAAAAAATGCAGTTGTTTTGCAGTGAGAATTCGTGAAGTCTCTTCGGGTCGCTTCTGCCTGATTGGATCTCCAAGTAAAGTTTTTGTAAGTCAGGGTCTTTCATTGTAGCCTTCCTAATTTCTTGTAGTGTTATTGGCATTTCTGATATTTGGTTTAGGTAGAATGCGTCATCATCGGTAAGGTTGTTTTTATTTACTTCTTTTGTACTTGCTTGTCGTGACAGGTAGTCCGCGTTCGCATGTTCTGTTGTTTTCCTGAGCTTAATGGTATAGTCAAAGCCTGCTAAGAAGTTTGCATAATGTACAAGTCTTATAGCTGTAGTTGCTGGTGTAGCTTTTTCAGGATGTAGAATTCTTGCCAATGGTTGGTTGTCAATGATTATTGTTATTTTCCTTCCAACACAGAATTGAAAAAAATTCTTTAATCCCCATATTAGTGCTGCCGCTTCTTTATCGAGTTGGCTATAGCTCTTTTCAGCTTTGGTTAGGGATCTTGAGGCAAACGCTATGGGTCTTTCAGACTTGTCCGGCATAATGTGAGATAATACAGCTCCAAATCCTGATGGAGATGCATCTGTAGCGAGGGTTACTGGTAGGTCCCCATGAAATGGTGTAAGTACTTTTTGTCCACAGATTTCTTCTTTCAATTTATTGAATATTTTCTCACATTCCTCTGACCAATTGAATTTTGTATTTTTCTCCAGTAGTTTGTAAAGAGGGTTTAACTTCGATGCTAGATTTGGAATAAACTGCTGATAATAATTTATCATTCCAAGGAATGTACGTAATGATGACACGTCTGTAGGGCGTGGGCTCCTTTTAATATCATGTATTTTATCTTCTGTAGGGTGTAAACCATTTTCATCAATTGTATGTCCAAGGTAAGTAATTGATTTTTGGAAAAATTGACATTTCTTTTTGTTTAAATGTAAACCACAATATTGTAATTTCTTAAAAACGGATGACATTCTTTGTAATAATTGTATGTATGTATGTCCTTGTATGGCTATGTCATCAAAAAAACATGCTGTACCATCTAATCCTTGTAGAGTCTGATCCATGTAGCGTTGCCATATATTGGGTGCTACCTTGACACCGAACATTAGTCTTTTGACCCTCTAGGTGCCTTTGCAAGTACTGACTGCCTGCATCTCAGCTGTTTCTTCACTAGTCAACATATGTAAATAGGCTTGATTAATATCTAGTGTGCAAAAATATTTGCCACCGCTAAGCTTTGCAAATATTTCTTCAATTTTTGGAATAGGATAATGGTCATTCTCTATATTTTTATTTAAAGTTGCTCTATAATCTGCACATAAACGAACTTTTCCATTTTGTTTCATTACTGGTACAATTGGCGTACCCCACTGCGCATAAGTAACTTTTTCCAAAATACCTGCTTTTTCTAATCTGTCTATTTCCTCTTCTACTTTACTTTTCAGTGCGAATGGCACGGGACGTGGTTTTAAAAATATTGGTACTGCTCCCTCTTTTAACTTGAATGAAGCTTGATAATTTTTTATTCTTCCAATTTCTTCTGTAAATAACTGTTTGTATTCTTCTAATAAATCTTGTAATTTTACTTTGAATTCTTTTTCTGTAATATCATATTTTTTTTCTGCAATAGAATTGATTTCAAATTGGAAATCAAGTGCTCGCAGCCACTCCCTTCCAACTACGGGTTCTACTTGGTTATTTATTACAAATATTCTTCCATGTGTTTCTTTGTTATTGTATTTTATAGCTATATTGCAAGTTCCTATTGGTTTCATTATTTCCCCTGTGTATGTACGTAACTTGACTGGAGTGCTGGTTAATTTCATTTTTGGAAAATGTTTGTAAAAATAGTCAGCTGAGCATGTTGTAACAGCAGCCCCTGTGTCCAATTCTAGGTTATGATACCTTCCATTCAATATTAATGTTATATAAAATTTGTCATTCTGTGTATTGTGACCACTCTTTACAGGAATCTTGTGTATTTCATATATTTCTTCTTCGCTTTCATATTCAGATGAATTATTTTGTATTTCTACCTGCTTCTGTTCTTTGAAACAGACTGATTGTATGTGTCCTTTAATTTTACATTTCTTGCAGAACAGTTTAGCTTTTAGTCTACACTGCCTAGCTGTATGGTTTGTTTTACCGCAACAATAACATGTGATATCTGCATTGCCTTCATCACTATTCTTGTATGTTGTTTTGTTATTAGTATTTTTCTTGTATTTATTCAATGATATTTTCTTTATATCTGGTTGTATTTCCTGTCCCATTTCCTTAGTTTCAGATTTGGATGTCTCTATTGCCAATGCAATTTTTATAAGGTCATCAAATTTCGTATCTGGTGATTCTTGAAGAAGCCGTTCTTTGATTTCTGAATTTCTTAAGCCTCTTATAAATTGAACTCGAAGGTGAGTTTCAAAAGTAGTATTTTTACAATTATTACAAACAAAATTACAGTTCCCACCGATTTCTTTTAAACCTGCTATGTAGTTGGCAATGGATTCGTATTCATTCTGTGTCCTTAGACAAAATTTATGCTGTTGTGCCACTTCACCTGGTTCAGGTGCAATGTGATTGCTCAAAATCTTCACTAATTCGTTGTAAGATTTAGACTCTGGTGTACCCGGAGCAGTTAAGTTCTTTAGTACTTGATAATATTTAGGTCCAATGCAATTTAGAAATATTTGTAATTTGATATTATCGTTTGTAACGCCTTTTAACGTGATGTAATTTTGTAGTCGTTGTATGTAACTCGAAAATGCTTCATTTTACTTCGTCGTATGGTTGTAATGTAATGCCACTAATTGGTTTGGTACCTTGTTCCACGAACGCCATTTGCAATCTCGCTTGTTGTTCTTGCATGCCACGCATCGTTTCCATCATGTGTGAAAGCACTTGTGTAAGTTGTCCTTCCATTGTCGTTCGTATTTATTTTGACGGGAAAAAGGAATTGTGTGAAGCGGGTTATCATCACAGGAATTGGAACCCTTGGAACATAGGTAAGAGGTTATGGAATGTGTTAGAAGTG